CCGCGTGTGAGGTTTCCCAGCCCCCTAACGTCCCCAGGCCTCACGATGGCCACCCGGGGGCAAACCGCCAGTCTAGTGGCGCCCCGGCAGCAGGAGGCAGGTTGCTAACAGGCGGGAGTGACGGCACCGTCCCTGGTCTCCCTGGGGACCACCCTCCAGGCCCGGGCAGCTGGGCGGTCTCCTCAGGCTGCACAGGAGGGGCCTCATCTCCTCCCCCTCCCCCTCCCCCGGCCCCCAGGAGCCCAAGAGAAGGGGCATCTTCTGTCAGATCGACAGCGGGAACGACCTTACCACGGACCTCATCGTCCAGCGCATCATCAAGAACAGGTAGGACAGGTGCTGGCAGAGTTCGGGGGCGGGGGGGGCGGGGGGCCGCCGAGGCCCCGGCGGGCGCACAGCTCACCCTGGCCGGGCCCCCAGGCTAGAGTACGAGGCCCGGAACCAGAAGAAGGAGGCCAAGGAGTTGGCGTTCCTGGAGGCCCGGCGCCGGCAGGGCCCGCACCCCGCGAGGGAGAGCGACTGTGACCTCTGACCCGGGGAGGCCGCCGGGGCGCCAGCTGCCGGCCCGCTGCCCGCTCCGCTCCCTGCGCCGTGGGGGCTTGGTTCCCACGGTTTTTAACAAAGCGCAGTGCTCCCTCTCACCGGCCGGCTCCCAGGAGGACCCAAGTGCAGGACGCTGCCTCCCACCCCACCTGCCAGGTGCCCTGCCCGCTGCGCCGCACGGAGAGGGCATGCAGCGCAGTGGGGCGGCCCCGGCAAGGGGTGGCAGAGGGCACCTGCGGCCGGAGGGGCGCCGCCCCGTGTGCCGGTGAAGGCCCAGCTCGGCCCGCCCCGCCCCTGAAGCTCCGCAGACCCAGGATGGCCCTGCTGCCCAGCTCGAGCCGGTGCCCGTTCTGCCCTCCGCATCATTGAAGCTGGCTTCAGAGGAACAGAGACCCAAGCGGGGCGCCCCCTTCCGCCTCAGGGTACGGCCCGTGGCTGGTGACCCACGGCACATCCCTGGTGCCCTGGGCCTGGCTCTTGCGTACTGTGCCCCCCACTTCCCGGACCGGCCTCGCTGCTCTCCTTACAGATGGTTCTCGATTTTGTACCTGACTGGCTGGTGTACAACCCAATAAACTTGGTGGGAGGTATTCTGTGTTGGGGCCCTGCTCCCCCACCCCCACCATCCACACACTGGGTGGGGGGGTGCGGGGGCAGCAGGCAGTCTGCCAGTGAGGAGCCCCCCCTCCAGTTTTAGGACCCCAAGATGCTTCAGGCTGTATCCTCTGAAGGGGAACTCCAGCTTCTTGGTGCAGGCAGAGGGGTGGGCGGGGGGGGGGGGGGAGGGGGCAGGGGAAGCCGCTACAGACTCCCCGCACCCTCCTTGAGGGCGGGGCCCCCTTCTTCCCCGAGGGTCAGAGGAGAGGTGAATGCAGAGCTCCCAGGCCTCAGGAGTGGCCGCCTAGGCCGCACCCGGCTCTGGGGCGGGGTCTCTGAGCAGCCGGGACCACCCCGGAGCTATGCAGCGGGCGGCGCCTCCCCACTCCCCACCCCTGCTGGCCTGGCTGTTCGCTCATTCCTCCAACCCGTGGATTCCCTGCCCTGTGCTTAGTGCTTTGAGGTGTTTTGGGGGGACGCCAAGCAAGGAGCCACCCCAGGAGCTGCTCCTCCAGCAAGGGAGAGCTTTGTCCTCAAGAAGGCCAGGAAGCAAGGGGGGCCAGAGTGGGATTGGGGCCAGGCGTGGGGCGGTCCTAGAGGAATTCTCTGACCAGGACGCTGGAACTGGCTTAGCACTCAGGCTACTGCAGGACACAGACGCCTCCTCCCGGGACAGCCGGGGAGCTGTGGGGACAAAGGCGGGGAGGCGAAGGGCCTGGAGAGGTCAGACGTGGGGACCACTCTGCCAGAGGACCGGGGGAGCCCTAGGATTCCAGCGCCTTGGGAGGGCAGACTGGGGTTTGGGACGGTGCCCCCGCGAGGGCTTTTTCAGGACAGCCTGGTGGCCTAGAGGCCCAGCTGCGGCCAGGAGCGTCTGGAGACAGAGGCCAGGTCGGGGGTCCTCCAGGTCAGCGCGCCCCACAAGCCTAAAGCACCCCTCTGCCCCCACTCAGAGTCCGGCTGCGCTTGGCGTTTATTCATTTAGGCATTTACTGCAGGCGGGGGGGGGGGGGGGGGGGGGCGGGGGGGGTCACCGCGAGCCAGATGAGGTCCGGGTCTGGCAGTCGGGCTTAGGCGCTGCGACAGTCAGCAGCGCGGAGCGACACGGACACGTCCGCCCGGCACTGGAAGGTGGCCCGGCCGTCGGGGAGCCGCTGGCAGGTCTGCAGATTCGGGGTCACGTCCTTGACACACAGGGTCTGGGGGCAGGAGGAGGCTGAGGAAGCGACCTGCGCTCCGGCCCCGCCCCCCTCCCCGTCCCTCACGACCCCGCCGCCCGCGGCCCCGCGCCCCCTCCGCCGGCCGTACTCACGAGGCTCCGCAGGCGGGGTCTCGGCTCCGCGAAGGCACCGGCCCGGCCCGGGGGTCCCGCGCCCACAGGGGGCGCGGAGCGGCGCGCGTGCGGGGACCTGCGGAAGCCGGACAGCAGTCCCGCGGCGCGGCCCACCGAGTAGTAGCCGGGCCCCGCCGCCTGCCGGTACCACGCGAGGCCGGGGGGCGCCAGCAGCAGGCAGAGCGCCAGGGCGGCGGCCGCCAGCGGCGCGGGCCGGGCCATGAGGACGCGGGCGGCGGGCGGGCGGGGGGCGCTCGAGCTGCAGCCGCCGCGCCTTATATCTGCGGCCGGCGGGGCGCGGGGGCGGGCGCGGAGCACCTGCCGGGCCTCGCCTCCCGGAGAGAGCAGCCAGCGCCCCCGCGCCGGCCGCGGACCGGGTGCCCCCCCCCTCCCCCCCCCTGCCCACTCCCTCTGCCCATGGTCCTGCCTGGATCGAGCCTCAGCCGGGGCAGGGGCAAGCGGGGCAGCCCTGAACCCCCAACTAGCCCGAGGATGCGCCCGCCCTGAGTTACCCCTTAGAGGTCCTCAGTGCTCAAGGCTGGGGAGAGAGCCACTGTGCCCTGGGGACACTTTGTCCTGCCCTAGAGGTACTGATCCCAGGGCCAGGGCTCCTTGAGGAGACCTCAGAGCCTGGGTGGGCCTGGGGGCCATCCTCTGCCCCACACCCACGCGGGAAGGTTCTACTAACAGGGCTCCTACTGCTAGGGTCCTTTAGGAAGAGGTGGGCAGCAAGGCCAGGCCTGACCTTGGGGAAACCAGACCCAGGGACAGCCGACCAGAATCCTGAGGCTCCCACCCAGCTCCGCCCCTGCCGCGGTGGCCTCAGGAGCCTCGGGCCCGCTTGGTGAACGCAGGTGCTCAACAGGCGATGAATCAGACCCAGTCCCTGCCTCAAGCCACAGACAAATGGGAAAACAGCCGCAGGGGCCAGAGGGCAAGCAGAGTGGCTCCCTGGGGGCGAGCGATCGCACAGGCAGGGGAGGAGCCGGTGCCTCCTGGAGGGAGAGACAGCTGAGGTGAGGGAGTCTCCGCTGGATGTGGGCAGGGCCTGGTGGGCAGCTACACGTTCAGCTTGAGGCTCGGCAGGCCGGGGAAGGACCAGGCTGGAGCCCAGGGCAGGAGTCCCAGTGGCAGGGAAGCGGAAGTGCCTGCAGGAGGGGCTGTGGCCTTAGGCAAGCGGACAACCCCTGAGAGGCTGCACTCAAGCTCCACGGCCCCAGCACGCAGACCCGCAGACCCGCGCCCAAGCCCAGCGTGCACTTCCCGTCACAGGAGGAAATGCCCCAGGCAGGGGAGGCGGGCCGTGGGCAAGCCAGGGTGAGGCTGGGAGACTGCCGGGAGGGCCCTCCCTCGGTGGTGCCAGGTGCTGCAGACCACCCCTCCTCCTGACTCCCCGGATCCGAATCCGGACTCTGTATACAGACACAAAGGCTCAAGAATACAGCTGCCTGGACCCCAGAAGTAACTGTTTGCACGGCTGGGGAGCACCCAGGAGGCTGAGCCCAGGTGCCCCTCCTTCCACTCAGTCCCTAAACATCCCAGTCACGTGTCCTCCCCAGGACAGATACGAGCACAGGGGCCCTGGCAGCTGGGTTTCTGGACAAGGTGCCTGTGACCTCCAGCTTGGGTAAAGGTGATGGTCCCCAAGGCCTCCTTTCCTCTGGGCACAACAGCCAGACAGGAAGTTGGGTGCCACACAGGTGACCGGGAGGCCAGCCCCTCTGTGTGAACTACCCAGTCTTCTGCCCTGGAAGCTGAGGGCAAGCAGTGTCCAAAGTGCTCAGCGACTGGCCACCCACTAGGCAGACAGACACCCACTAGACACAGGGCAGTGACCACAGTTGGGGGGGGGGAGGGTCCAATGAGAATAGACTGAAGGAGCCAGTGCCAAGGGGCTCCTTGCAGCTCATGGGGACACGCAGCCCGCAGCAGGCTCTGTCCAGAAGTGGCCAGGACTCCCAGGCCTGGGACCACAGCCCCCGCCAGGAGCCGTGGACTAAGAGGTGCCCAAAGGAGCCTCCCAAAGGTTGCCCTTCCTTAGAGGACCTCAGACCCCCGGGACACAGATGTTGACAGGGCCCACACCAGGCAGGTCACAGCCTCGCCGAGCCGGCCTCCCGCTGGATCACCAGCACCCACTCGGGGAGAGCGTTTCAGCAGCAGGGACCACAGGCAGCAGCTGCCAGCTGTGTGGCATCAGAGGCCCACAGAGCCGTGGGGGCAGGGGTGACAGCCTCGAGCAGGGGAGAGCCAGAGGACCCCTCGGTCCTTCCTCTCCCCTGCTGGCACACACGCACACCCCAGGGCCTTTGCACCACGGCCATCAAGCCCCCAGAGCCAGTCACTGCTGCCCCAGGCTCTTCTGGCCGATCCTGCGCTCCTCCTCCTCCCGCGGTGGTGACTCAGGGCCTCGGCGCCTCGGCCAGATGTTTATTCATGAGTTTTCCTATCACAGCTCGCCCAGCGGGGCCGCGGCAGCGCGACCAGTGGCCTCCAGCAAGGCTCAGGCAGCTCAATGAGTTTTATTTATTGGATAAAAGTGTCAACACTTGATGGAAAACAAATGCAGCTCCAGTCCTCGCGTCAACCCAGTCACAGCCCGGAGGGGCCGCGTCACTCCTTGAACTTCCACTCCTGGCGGCACATGGGGCAGTGCTGCTGCACCTGCTGCGCGTTGAGCCACTTGAGGATGCAGTGCATGTGGAAGCAGTGCGAGCACTGGCCCCACACCAGGGGACAGTCGTCGCCCGGCACCTTGCCTGTGGGAGGGACGGGAGGGGGCAGGAGGGATGTCAGGCGGCCGTGCCAGCCCCCTGCAGCCCCGGGGGGGGGGGTTGTATTCCGAGCCTGTCACACGCTGGGTTTCAGGAAAGCCTGAAATCGGGAGCGGGAGCGTTAACACAACCCCACGGTGTGCCCCCCAAGCAAGGGCAGCAGTGGCTGCCCCGGGACTCGCTCTCCCCTCCCCTGCCGGGCTCAGTTCCAGGGAGCGCTCTGGCCCGGCCCGTAGCCCATCTACAGACACACCACAGTTCCGCCACTTAACCTGCCGCCAGGGTCACAGCAAGAACGCATCTGGGTTACCTGCCCATCAGGAGGAGGGGAGCTGGGGCTGGGGCCGGGGTTCCTCTCCCAGGCAGCAGTGACCCAGTGCAGGACGGGGCGGGGGGGGAGTTGGGACCCTGTGGCGTTTCCTGTGTGGTAGCTGAGAGTGAGCGCAGAGCTACCTCCCACCTCCTTTTCATTTCTGGTCTGAAAGGGCGCCACCTCGGCCAGGAGCCTGCAGCTGGGCACGCCCGGACATGCCACCTCCACCCAGATGGCGGCCACGCTGCCCGAACTCAGGACAAAAACGGGTCCCTCCGATTTCTGAGAATCAAGAAAATCCCATCAAGCAGCTGGTGCCAACAGAGCAGGACGACGTCCCGCAGGCCCGGGTCGGGGTCCCCAAAGGCCTTGAGAGCTGTGGCCCGCTGCCTCCGCCCCCCCGGGGTTGCCGTCCCCCCACCTCACGGCCCTGGGGGTCCTCTACGTGTCTCGAATGCTAGCCGTGTCCACATGTCACGGGTGCACACACACAGGAGACCGGATACGCAGGCCGGGGCCGGGACGCACAGCACACCCCGTCGTGCTGGCAGCCAGCCTACAGCCAAGTCGGGGCTCTGAGCACACACACCTCCTTTGGACCCTGTGACCACCGTCCTTCCGCCTGACAGCAAACGCAGGTGCCCGCCCCTGCCAAGTCCTAGCGCCCCCACCTGGATCCGCTCCCCGCCGGCTTGGGGCTGGGGGCCCAGCGGTGCTCGGTGGCCTCCCCGTCCCCCCGCCCGGCGGGCAGGAAGCCAAGGCACCCAGTGGATCAGGCCGGCTGCCACCTGCTGCCACACCAGGCAGCTGGTGTGGGTGCCAGGCCGGGAACCTTCCAGGCTTCCTGACAGCGCTGGTTCCCCCCTCCCGGGGCAGCCCCTGCCCTGCACTGGCACACACACCCACCAAGTCAGAAGGGAGCTGCCGCTGTACCTTGGTCTTCATGTGTTTGCAGCAAAAACCCTTTTTATAACAAAACATCCCTCCCTTTCTGAAAATTTTATGATGAAACCAGAAAATTATACACTTGGCAAATACGTAATTATTGAACTCACTCTGCTTCCCCAGGCACGGGAGGGGTGGGTGCTGGGGGGTGAGAAGGACCCCGTGCCAGGAGCTCATGTGGAGTGACACCCGACTGAGATTACACCCCACCCCACCCCCACGGCCTTCCCAAGCCCAGCAGAACTTGGCTTGGAATCACCTCTCTGAAATTAGAGTGGCTTTCAAAGAAAGGATACAAAACAGGGCAGGAGCCAGCTCTTTGGGAGAGGGGCGTGCCCTGAGGGGGAGCACTGGCCACACTGTCCACGTGAGGCAGGGCTAGGGCAGAAGGAGGCACTTCCAGTACTCAGTACTGCCCCCAGTACTCAGTACTGCCCCCAGTACTCAGTACTGCCCCCAGTACTCAGTACTGCCCCCGCAGCAGGCAGCCTGCCCCAGGAATCTGGTGGGCACCTGAACACAGTCAGTCAGTGACTCACGCAAGGGTGTCTTGATGCAAATCCTTTGTCGGAAAAGTCGGCTCAAGAAGACCTTTACTCCCAAAGCCCTGGGGGCGGGGGCTGGCTTACTACGGCCTCAGCCACTCTGGCTTCTCCACAAGCGCTCAGCTTTAGCAAGTGAAATCCAGCGTCACTTATCTGTATAAAGAGCACCTCAGGCTTGTCAGACACTGCAAATTACAAGCGGCTCGCACACTGAACCCCACGTCTGGAGACCAGACTCTAGGTCCCCTACTCTGGGGCGCCTGGGGGCTCAGTCAGTTGGGCTGCTCGGGTCATGGTCTCACGGTTTGTGGGTTCCACGCCCATGTCGGGCTCTGTGCTGCCTGCTGGGGACTCTCTCCCTCTCGGCCCCTTCCCTGCTCATGTGCCCGCGCGCGCGCTCTCTCAAAATGAATAAACAAACTTCAAATCCCCCTCTGTCTGCTGGCTGACAGATCCACTAGCCTATCTTGCATGTTAAAAAAGCTTAATCGAGAGCCAATCACTGATTTCCTAAGATCATATCCCACCTGTTAAATCAGCAGGATTAAGTCCCGGGTGACGAGGTTTCCTTTCAGCCAAAGCAAATGTAAAAATTAAACTTAGAAAAAACCTCTTCGCACTAAATTCAGTGATCTGAATTGTACTGTAGGAAGCAAAGCCCACAAAAAAAGTCCGGGTAGGTCGCAGGAAGGAGGGCCCTCGGCGCCCCCCACGCCCCAGTTTCCTCTTGGGACTTGCATCCTGTTCCCGCCCCCCACCCCCCACCGGGGTCAACTGGCCTCTGTTTAAGTTCACTTGGGTTTTGCTAAAAACTAAATTCACTGACACAAAAACCTGCGTTTGATTTAAAAATATACTCACACATTTCTACTGCACAGAATATAACGGGGACAAAGATGAATCAGAAAACACCACAAAGGGGGCACCTGGGTGGCTCAGTTGCTTGGGAGTCTGACTTCAGCTCAGGCCATGATCTCGCGGCCGGTGGGTCTGAGCCCCGCGTCGGGCTCTGCACTGACAGCTCGGAGCCTGGAGCTGCTTTGGATTCTGTGTCTCCCCCTCTCTCTGCCCCTCCCCTGCTCACACTCTGTCTCTGTCTCTCTCTTTTTCTCTCTCTCAAAAATAAACATTAAAAAACTATTTTTTTAAAACACACACAAAGTAGAATCTGATAAAACCTGGTGGCGGACGCCGTGTGACAACACACCTCTGCTACGGGTCAGCTGCCTCGGCAAGGTCAAGAGAAGGGTGGGAGCGGGGCCTGTTCTAGATTCAACAGCCAAGGCAGAGCAAAGCAAGCCGCGCACCCCACTCGTGAACAGAGACCTCTACGGACTACGGGGAAAATCTGGGTGCAGACTAGGAGTGGGGTGCCGCTAAGGACTGTGCGCCGGCACTGACTGCAGAAGGTCCAAGTCACATCAGAGGCTCTGCGGGGGCACAGCGACCCCTCCTGCTGGTCTGCTCCCAAGACACACGTGAAAACCCTGAGGCCAACATGGACCGTCCCTTAGGCACTGTCGTTTCCGTTTGCTTGTGGACCTTTGAAAGCTTTTAAAACAACTTTCGGCCGTGTGTTTCTTTTTTTTTTTTTTCTTATTTAAGTTGGGGCTTCTGGGTGGCTCGGTTGTTTAAGCGTTTAACTTCAGCTCAGGATATGAACTCGGTGTTCATGAGTTGGAACCACGCGCTGGGCTCTCTGCGGTCGGCGCAGAGCCCGCTTCGGATCCTCTGCCCCCCCCCCCACTTGCCCCTACACATGTGCACGCATGCACATGCACTCGCGCGCTCTCGCAAAAACAAATATTTTAAAAGTTTATCTATTTTGAGAGAAAATACATGAGCAGAGGAGAAGGGCAGGGAGGGAGAGAGGGAGAGGGCGAGGGAGAGGGAGAGAGGGCGAGAGAGAGAGGGAGGGAGAGAGAGAGACCCAAGCAGGCCCCAAGCAGAGAATTTGGAGCCCGATTTGGAACTCAAACTCATGAACCATGAAATCATGACCTGAGCCCAAATCAAGAGTCAGCCTCTTGATGACTGAGTCCCCCAGGCGCCCCTTGCCCCATATACTTCATAGCTGAGTCTGATCACACTAAATGGCTAGGACGCCTTTTCTTACAAAACTTTTGATGGGGTCTCGATACATATTCATGTGACCAAACCACTTGGCTTTCTCCCTTCGGCTTTTTCTTGAGGAAAGGGGACCCCAAAACCCAGGCCCTTCGTGCAGTTATTTCCAGGGAGACACCAAGACCAGGGCAGCAGGCAAAGCTCAAGAAGGAGGGAACACGGGACACTCACAGTCTGGGCAGCAGCCATTAAAAGCCATCCGGCAGATGCCACAGTTCTCGTCGTTCGCCACCCAGAGCCAAGTGGCCACGCCATTCCAACACTTAATCTTCACCTTCATGGCGGTGGAGCCTGCGAGCAGAGGAAAGAGACCACCTGGCTATGTCAGTCTGCACAACTACAGCATCTGGGTCCCCAGGGATCAAGAGGGGGCAGGAACGGCCGCCCAGGCCGGGAAACCCAGAGGGCTGAGCCCAAATTTGTCTGCAAGGTGGTGGGGGCAGGGTGGGGTCCTTCTTGGAAGGACCAAGCGCCCCAAGAGCAAGGTCCCCTACATTTTCATAGTATCTGCAAAGGCCGCACAGTCAGCCCTGCGTCCACCAAAGGCTTGAACGATATTTGCGAAAACGTGCCTGACGGCGCTTTTCAAAGGCATGCGACTAACTTGGGGCTGAAAGATGAAGACCCCGACCCGGCCAACTAGGAGTTCAAGCCAGGGAACAGCCACTCAGCCCGCTCGGCCTGCGGCCCCGGTCGCGAGCTCGGTCGCCAGCTAGGCAAGCCGTAGGCCTCCTCCGCCGCCGCCGCCGCCAAAAGGGGGCCTGGTTGCTGGGCAGGGGATGCGGGCCGGGCCGGGGCTCAGGCTTGGTGAGAGCGTGGGGCGCGGAGAAGGGCTCAGGGGCGGACGTGGGGAGACAGACGGTGGGGCGCGGGGCCAGGGTGACGCGCGGGAAAGGGCTGAGGGTGCGGGAAAGGGGGGACGCGGGTTGAGAGCGCGGAGAGAGGGCACAGGTAAGGGGTAGACGCAGGGAGAGGCTGTGATGCGCGGAGAAGGGGTGCGGGGAGCGGGCGCGCGGAAGGGGTGGGAACGCGAGGAGAGGGTGTGGGCGGGGGAAGAGGCGCGGGTTCAAGGCTCCGAGCGGGGAGGGGCGAGGGAGGGGCGGCGCTCCGCCCCGCGCTCTCGCACCTCCGCCGGCCTAACCGCGCGCCGCCCCACCCGCCTTCCGTTGGCAGCGCCCGCGCGGGAAGGTATAAAAACGACCGCGGCTACAGCCCGACACTTCACAGCTGCGCCCGCCGAACTCGCGTCTCAGCGCGCAGGCGCCGCACCACCCCCGCCGCCCGCCCGCTGCCAATCCCCGGCTTCTCCAAGGACTCGGCACCGGAAGACACCGCGCTGCCCCGGAAGTGACGCCCTGGCGTGCTGACGCGCGGGCTCGAGCCAAGGCCGATTCCGCGCCCGCCATGGCGGACAAAATGGACATGTCTCTGGACGACATCATTAAGCTGAACCGGAGCCAGCGAGGCGGCCGCGGCGGAGGCCGGGGCCGCGGCAGGGCCGGCTCCCAGGGCGGCCGCGGCGGCGGGGCGCAGGCCGCCGCGCGAGTGAACCGAGGCGGCGGGCCCATCCGGAACCGGCCGGCCATCGCCCGCGGCGCGGCGGGCGGCGGCGGCAGAAACCGGCCGGCGCCCTACAGCAGGGTGAGTGCGGAGGCGGCGGGCCTCGGCGGGGGGCGGGCCGGCGCGGCGGCGCGCGGCGGGGTGGGCGGCAGGCCGCTCGGGCCGGTGGGCGCGGGCGCCGGCGCGGGGAGGTCGCGCGCCGGCCGGGCCCGGGAGGCGGAGATCGGCCCGGCCTTTGTCTCGGCCGGGCGCCGGGCCTCGTGGCGGCGGGGCCGAGGGGGCTTTGGGCGCGGGAAGTAAGTTGGAGGGAAGCGAGGAGCTGCGGGGCCCGGGGCTCCCGGGGGCTTGGCTGCGGCCTGACGCGGCGTGGGCGGGAAGTGCAGGGCTGCGGGCCCGTGTGCGTTTCCCTCCGGGCCCCGAGCGTCGTGGCCTGGCCGCGAGCGCGAGGGAGAGTCCCGGAGAGCCACTCACGGGTCTGTGTCGGTTGTGTTTTCTTTCTCCTTCAGCCGAAACAACTTCCCGACAAGTGGCAGCACGACCTTTTCGACAGCGGCTTCGGAGGTGGCGCAGGCGTCGAGACGGGTGGGAAACTGCTGGTGTCAAACCTGGATTTCGGAGTATCCGACGCTGATATTCAGGTAAGGGGAGGGGGGGGTTCTCGGTGCGCAGTTGACCCCTCACGGACTCGGTCCCGTTCGGGAGATGGCCTTGAATCCCCTCCCACCCTAGACCAGTGAGCCCTCCAGGCCCCGTGAGGAGCGGCGGGAGGCAGAGCAGAGGTCACTGCAGTGCGAAGCCCCACGAGTAGGTCAGTGTGTTGGAAGACAGGCCCCCAGCCTAGTGTGAGGAGCTGCCGCTCTTCTGAGGTGTCCAAGGTGTTCCCGCAGCGAGAGGTGGCTGTCCTGTGTTTTCTCGCCTTACTGACTCAGCCGGGAGCCGGGATGTTCGTTTTGATTATTTTGCTTTTGTTTTAATGATTTGTCGGGAGAAGATCTTTTTCTCTGTAAACTCTTAGAGCAGGAGCAGGATGGTGCTGGGCGCCCTTCCTGCCCCGTGCCCAGGCTGCGTGTGTCACGGAGCTTGTGCCCTGGCTGTGCCCTGGTCCTGCTAGTGGCGTGGTTTCAAACCCATCCTTGTTTGGAGCTTCTTTTTTTCTTTGGTTTCTTTTTTTCCCCCCTTCTTTTCTTTTCCTTTTTTTCCTTCTTTTTGATTGGACTCCAAAGGCACATAAATGTATGTTCTGCTTAAGTGAAGGCATTTGGAGGATCGGTCCCAGAGCCGGCTGGGTCAGGGTGCTGGGCCTTCCTGGCTTCCATGTCCCAGAGCCCCACTGTTTGTTTGACTGGGAGGACAGAGCGAGGCTGGTGAGCACTCACGGTGTCTCAACACTTTTTTTAAGGTGGTTTCTGGCCTCCACTGGAAACCGCTTTTGGTGAACTCCACTTCCCGCTGTGTGCCTGCGGCCGGAGTAGCCCCACACTCTGGGTTCCCTCTCCAACTCCCAGCCTGCCTGAGGTCAGGGCAGTTTCCATGGCAGCGCTTGACTTCAGCCTTTGCGGCAGGCTTGAGTAGGAGGAGAGGGAAAGGTGAGCCAGAATCTGCCCTGGGGGAGGGGCTGGGTCAGGGCTCCCGAATCAGCGGGCCCTGTGAGCTGGTTCACATGACGGATAGCATCCCCTGCTCTGTGATCTTGGCCTTTGCTGTTTCTTGGTACAGTCCTTGGGTGTGTTGTAAATTTTCCTCCGTTGAAGAAGATAGCGACTTAACATTGTGCCCTTCACTGGTGGGCTTTGCGGTCCTTTACCTGCATCCTGATACGGATGTCAGGTCCCCAGGCTGGCAGGAGCCCTCAGGCCCGGCTGCTCCTGGAGGTGCCGTCCCGTCCGCCCCTCCTTCCCCCCAGTGTGCACTGCCCTGCCCCCATACGTGTCTGCCTCCCAGGGAAAGACCCCCCCCCCAAAAATAAAGGTAGCTCCCCCTCCCAGGAACTGCCCTGGGCCAGCAGGAAGGGGAGCCGCTTTGCTAACAGCTGCGCTTTCCGGCCCTCAGGAGCTCTTCGCTGAATTCGGAACTCTGAAGAAGGCGGCTGTGCACTATGACCGCTCAGGGCGCAGTTTAGGAACAGCCGACGTGCACTTTGAACGGAAGGCAGACGCCCTGAAAGCTATGAAGCAGTACAACGGCGTCCCTCTGGACGGTGCGTCCGAGGTTGGAGCCGGGATGGTAGAGGGGCCGCGGTCCGTGCAGGAACATGGCTTACCCCTGCGGCCGAGGACACTTTGCATTCGCCCCTTGGTCTCTCTCTTCCATTCTGCCACCTCTCATGCTGTCCCACACATCCGGACCAACCTCTTGTGAACCCCCATCCAGCAAGCTACATCCCTCCCCTCCTTCAGCTCCTTCCGGAAGATTCACTTCTGTGAAGCCTTCTCAGAACCGCCATAGCACCTCTGAGTGCGGGGCTGTAGTCGTAGAGACAAAGGTACCGGCTCTTCTTCCGCCAGGCCTCCCGCACCTCTCCCCCCACGAGCGCCCCGGACACCTGAGCAGACACCCGCCTGACCTGGACTCAGGAGGAGGGAGGAGGTCCCGGCGGGGTTGGCGGCGGCACGGCCCGCCCTCCTGCCGGTGTCACTCGGCCGCCCCCTCACGGGCAGCCTCTGAGACACGCCGAGCCCCTTGCCAGCGCTTGCCCGGAGAGCGGGGTGCGGAGCCCCGCGGGTGCGCCCCGAGCCCTCTAACTGGAGCGCGCCCTCTTGTGTGCTTTGCCACAGGCCGCCCCATGAACATTCAGCTCGTCACGTCACAGATCGACACACAGCGGAGACCCGCGCAGAGGTGAGTGGGGGCCCGTGGCGCGTGGTTGCTCGCCCCGCAGGCCTTCGCAGGTCGCGGGAGTGAGGTCTGCTTTCCTCGCCAGCGTAAACAGAGGCGGGATGACCAGAAACCGTGGCTCCGGAGGTTTCGGGGGCGGCGGAGGCACCCGGAGAGGTGCCCGCGGAGGGAGCCGGGGCAGAGGCAGAGGCGCCGGCCGGAGTTCGAAGCAGCAGCTTTCCGCGGAGGAGTTGGACGCGCAGCTGGACGCTTACAACGCGAGGGTGAGTGCCGGCCGGGGCCCGGGGGGCGGCGGCGGCCAGAGCCCGGCGCCTGGCAGCCTGGGAGCGGGGGGCCTGGTCTTGAGCGAGAAAGTTTTGTGTTTCAGATGGACACCAGTTAAAGAGCGGCAGATCTCGAGCGGAACGGGACCCGGACGCCTCCTCCGAGCTCCCTGGCGGGAGGTGGCGGCACACGGGGCCGTGCAGCCAACGATGGATTTGTTCTTTTGTGTTTTAAAATAGGATTTAAAAACTCATGTAAAGGTTTTTGTTTTCTTTTTTTGTTTTCTTTCTTTTTTTTTTTTTTTTTTTTAATTCTGAAACAGACCTGTTTTGTACTGAGTTATTTTTGGGATAAATTTTACCGGTTGCTGTTGTGGGGAAGGTGGCGTTTTCACCTTTGCCATAATAAAATAGAAACGTGTGTAGAACTGGAACTGTTTGATTTGTCCCGCTGTCGGAGTCCTTGCTTGCTTGGGCCAGGACTTGGTGTCACGACCCGATGGGAGCACGTGGGGAGCAGCCCCACGGGCCCCGGGCATCCTGGCACGGCCACGGTGTCTGGGCTCGGAGGGTGCTGGCCGCCATGCCTCCATCCGCGTTCTGCTGACCCCCGACCTGGTGGGCAGGAAGACGTGAGAGCAGCCGCCTCCACCACCCACCCCGGGACGTGAGGGGTGGGCTGGGTGTCCCGTGTTGTTACCAGACTTCAGGTGACACGGCTGGGCTGTTCCCTTTCTTCTGGAGCTCTGGTTCCCAGGGGCCTGGGTTCAGCAGTGACTGTGCGACGTAATCTCTTCCTGGCTTTCTCTGTCTTTGATGTTAAGGAAGGAGCCAGAAAGCGTCCTTGTAGCTTCGTGCCTGGTGAGACAGCTTGCGGGGCTGCGGCAGAGTCCACTGTGACGTGCAGAGAGCCAGAGGGGCTGGCAGACGGGTGACCCATCTGGACACCCCCCCCCCCGGGACAGAACGGAGTGGTCCGGTGACGACACTGGTCTCTACTCTCCACGCTGGGCAGCCCAGGAGAGGCCCGGGTCCCGGTGGGAGACAGGGCACGGAGACCTGTCTGGAGTCTTGAGGACTTTCGGCCTCCCTCTCTGGAGGTGCTGCCTGTGGGTGACTGCGTTCTACCCCAAAGCCAGTGAGACCCGAGGGCCCTGGCTCGGTGGCCCGCGGGCACGTTCCAGGGTGCGGCAGGCAGCAAGGACAAGGTGCAGCCGTGGAGAGGAGGGCTGGTGGGCTGTGTGAGTACAGCCCCAGAGCTGTCCCCGAACCTCACAGCGGGGACAGGGAGGAGGGGGCGGTTGCAACAGGAAGACCTGCCAGAGCACAGCCTGTGGCTCAGGCTGCTCCCAGGTCCACACTGGGGACAGTGCTCCGGAGTCCTGAGAAAGCGTGTTGGGGCGCGGCC